GTAGCCTTTTTTTGTTGCTTTTCTTAGTGGAAGCATCATTTTGACCTTATATCGTCGCAAAATATAAGCAGATGCCTCTCCACTGTTGTATAATCAAGGTAATGCCTTCTCATGTTTTACAAAAGCATCTAAACAATGATTCCAAGAACAAACGAGAAAAAGTTTTAAAGTTCTATGTACATTAAAAACAAAGTCCGTCATCAAGCTCAAACTAAGCAATGAAAAAAGAAACACAACTGACAGCAGAAAGGTCTTTTTTCCTTCACAGGCAGTTTTCCAGTAAGAGGCACTGGAACTATTACGCTGTTTGGATCCTTCAGAATTATTGATCTTTTATCACTGTGGAAAACTCTCATTCAATATATGTGACATACTGCTGAATCTGCCAGCATTGCATTTACTAACAAAAAGGGAACCAAGGAAATCAAGAAGAATAATGAAGTTAAATGTTTACATCTTAACAATATTCTTTCCTCTTTCTGGAATTCAGTTTCTTATTTTTATCCTTCAGAACAAAGAAATTAAGTACAGTATTCCAGACTTCTTTTTTTAATCTGTTAAAACTACTGGATAAGTGACTGCTTACCCCTATTATTTCCAAGCAAGACAGAAAACAAGAAGCTATTAAGAAACCTCAGGAACACATATGCTCTGGATAGGCAAGCTAACAGTACTTGGCTTTCCCCTACCTACTGACAGCACAGACAAGGAAAGAATAGTGAGAAAGGGTAAAAGAGGAGACAGCAAGCACTGACACCACCATCTACAGAAAAAAATGTAAAACCTCTAGCTATGAAACTCTTTGCTTGCAAGGTACTTAAACAGGTCTTAAACTACTATACTAAACACAAAACACTTGCATTCAGAAATGCTCGAACCTCAGAAAAGTTTTATGAGTGTTGTGTGTTTTATGCTACACAAAAGCATCAGCTAACCTCTGTGTTCAAGAGAGACATCTGTGGTTGACTAAGGCACGTAATGTTACTTTCTGCTGAACATGTTGGTCCACTTTTATGCTGTACCTTCAATACCTCGCTGCTTCCCAAACTCTGTGACTTGCAGAAATCCCGAATGGTAGCTTCAAATGCAGGTACAGGAAAAGACTCTGGTTTTGGAGTCTGAGTTGACTTCTTGTTTGCAGTTTTATTGAACCTGTCTGAATAAAGCATGTAAATAATTAAACTTGCTTGTGATCATTTGTAGGTATGTTTTATAGTACACTAGTTGACATAACTACAGTAGTCATCACAAGAACTATTGCTATACATAGTTCATATTAAAAAAAAAATCTAGCAATTATAACCATCGTGTATACACAACACTGACTCAACAAGCAACTGTAAATTCAGGTGCTTGCTTAAGAAATTTTTCGTATCAGTTTACATGAATTTGTTCAATCAGCAAAAAGATGTAAGTCACCATCCCTTGTCAAAAAGTCACACAGGAAAGAAATCCTGCTCCTTAATTGTTCTAGATTTAGAAACATGGTCACAAACTGGAGGGTATAGAACAGTCAACCATTTTACATCTATCTGACGTATTTCTAATCAAACAACACATTTGTACCTGGCTTCACGGAATCTCTGCTGCATGCAGAGGTCTGGAACGAAGTCCTGTTCACAATTCTGACAGAAGAGTCATCTCCATCATGCCTCTTCTTGTCTAATTTTTTCTCACCCTCTTTTGATCTCCTCTGCTGCAAGTATTTGTGACATATTTAGTTGATTTTACTTGAACTTTGTAAAGCCATCGTTTGCCTTAACTTGAGTTACAGTTAACCACCTCTGCGTCTGGAGCTTGACCATCAAGTTAATACAACATAAAGAGTTAGTACACTGTAACAACAAATAAGCAATAAAAATAGGCGCAGCCAGTTAGAGATTTGTTATTTATCTACCTTGTCAACTGTGCCATTTTTAGCACATACTATAGCCCAAGCAAGAGGGATTACTCCATATGTTTCTAGACAACTGTACTTTTTAAGATCTAATTAATCAGAGCATTTCCAATAGTTTAAAATTGTTTGGTCTTAAATCATCCAGTCAGATTTTCTAAAACTGAGTTTCTTCTAGAACAGGACCAAAATCTTAAAAGCACTCCAATCTTTCGGCCAAACTACACATTATGGGCAAAACTAGGCGAGACTGATGTAGCAACATCCAGAACACTTGGAGCAGACAAAGTAATTAGAAAAGATACGCCTACATGATCCCAGTAAAGGAAACACATTCACCTATGCTGTAAAGTCCTAAAAGCCTTGTGATTCTCATAAGAAACCTAGTTTGGCAGAGCTGGGCTCAGGAATCAGTATGGCAGGCAAGGAACAAGCACTGGGCTTGCATCTGTGCAAAGCATACTGTATCCCCCTAGACAAATGGCTTAACTCCTTCTGATTACAGGATGCTGGACCAAATTCAAAGTACCTCTGGCACCAACACGATTTTCTTTGAGTAGGAGGACAAGGCATTTCCTGACCGCCAAAGCTAAATTGTCAAAACTGTAGGAGATGTGATCAAATGAATGCAAATCTGCAAAGATCAATCATTTCTCTTCAAGGTCACACAGAAATAAATGACAGGGAACAACGACAGAAAGACTGTCAAACAGTACACAGCTCAGCCCAACAAAGATCACAGAACTTTAGCCCAGAGGCTAAACTAAGCTTTTTCACGTTACATCACCTGTGCTAACACTGAGCTAATCATCTCCAAAGACAGCTTCAGAGTTTAATTTTTCTCTCAGCAAGAAAACTATGAAATTAGGTCTCTAGCCTTTGTATCTTATTGTCTAGTAATGCATGCTTAGGACCTAATCTTACAACTTCCTCTACACAGGCTTGACCACAGTGAAGTTACCAGGTCTCTGCCTAGGGAGTAAGGTCCACCAGAAGGATGTGACAGGAGAACAGAATACTTGAACCTGTTGAAAACAACAACAGCCTTACAAATCCAGGAGACACAATGTCTAACTACTGAGGGAAATGGGTTAATAACAGATTTGATTTTTCTCCCCGGTTACTGTATTTTGAGGAGTTTGTCTGGTTTTATTTTGAAAATATTATCCAAGTTTCTGGAAATTTATCCCCAAAGTCACACACAAAAAATGACAGAGGTTTACCAAACATCCATTTTACTTTCAACTGAAAGAGAACATTTCTAACATGAACCTTTCTTCCCTCTCCACACCAACTCCACTCTCCTGTGGATCATTTTCTGCCTGTAGCAGGTCTTGGGAATCCGACAGATGTGGTCTCATCACTTATCAGCCAAGTAGCTGATTACAGCCACCAGTTCTCTCTTAACTCAGGTTCATGGAAGCTGCCACTGGGCTCAAAAAAAGCTCTCATCCCCCAATGCCCAAGCCTAGCGAACAAAGGAAAGCACAATTCACAAACAAATGGTCTTTTCTTTCCTCCCCGCTTCCCCCCAGGTGCTGCTTTCTGAGGAAAAAGAATTAAATCCCCCTCATGTTCCAAAAATATTGCTTGAAAGACTGTATTAATTTGAACCGTAGAATTCCATTAACTTTTTTGAAATCTTAAGTTGGGCACGTTACTTCCATCCTCTTTAAATGCCATTCATTATCACTACAAGAACAGAGAGTGATTATTCACTTAAAAAAATAAACCAAACATTTAGAAAGACTAATTTAAAATAAGAATTTATTTGTGATTTTTAAAAAACATGTATTTGCTCACCTTTGAAAGATTCTTACTTTCTTGTCTGATGGGATACGTTTGCCCAGCAGATTCACTGACTATTCCTGAACCATTATAGTGTGTTGAGTTGTTAGAACGATATTGTGAGCCAGCTATTGGATATACATTTGAAACAACATCAGGTGAGTAACAGCAGCTGGAGTATTCACGCAAGGCAGGATCTCCCAGAACACTAAGTGATGGACATTGAGAAAGAGATGAGAAGTCATCCTGGGGCAAATCTTCAGCATATACTTGCTGCCTAGATAAACATATCATTCCTTGGCTGAAGAAACTGTTTAACAAGAAAGCTATATTTCAAAAGAAAACTATTCCATGTTACTTCAAATAAGTATTTACTCACTGCTATAGACTGCTTTAAAAATATTAATTTTGTGTTGGGAAACCATGTAGCTTAGCAAATATTTTAAAACACAGATGTTACTTGTTTCTAAGTTTCAAACCCACTCAGCTTTGCAGTTATAGTCCTCATTTCTGTTCACACTATCAAGATTCTTCACACCTATTTCCTGTAGGCTTTTTCTTGTGAAACACACCAAAAGCACAGTATAACTACATGACATGCATGACTTGACCGCAAAAATACAAACATTAAATAGTAAAACCTGTCTTAAAATGCCATAATAATGGAGTATAGCACCTTATGGTGTATGAAATACAATACAGAATTATAAGACAATCATTAACTGACCTGCATTTAACCATCAGTTTATGAAAACACAACATGTCTAGGGCATGCGTTTTTCCTTCAAATGTATACTTTAAGTTCCCTTCCAATTTCCTCCTACACTTTGTACAGAAACTATATGCCAGGATCCAAATTCAATTAGGGAGAAAGGACACGTCCCAGCTTAAGAAAGCCACATTTAGTTTTTAAAGCTGGTCACCGTGAAGTGGCCAACCTTTGAATCTTGGGTAGATAATGAAAAACAGAGAAACTCTCCCATCATAACAAGGAAATTCAGATAACATATTTCTTACTGCCTCTTGGGATTCAGACAGACTGTAATCAGAACAACTCTTAGAATCACAGTTTATGCACAGAGGAAAAAAAGTAACAAATCAGAGTGAAAAAAAAAAACTATGGCTCAGTCCCAACAAGACAAAACATTCATCAGAATATTGCTGCTGTCTGCTGGTTTGGGGTTGTTTTTTTTTTTTTGTTTGCGTTTTTTTTAATGCTAATTCATTTAATGCTAATGCTGTATTTTTTCTAGTGCGCAGATCTGGCCGTACTCACCTCAATGTTAAATTTCTATTACAAACCAGAATGGGTTCAAAGTACTGAGATTTCCCATAAGATAAAATGAAGTCCTACAACCAATGTGTTCACTAAGGCTCTAACTGAGCTTGTTAGGACACACCATTAACTTCACAGTAATTGCAAAATTAACCCAATGGTTAGAGTTCTGAGAAGGAATCACAGAACTATGTAACATCACAAGATTCTTACAAGGCTCGATTATTTCCTATCCTACTATGTAGGCTTTTTTCCAGCTTGCTCTGGGGTTAACAATACTTTTAGAAGTCTACCATGAATGCCTTTTTTTTTTCAGGCCCTGTTAGAAAAATACTTTCAGAGACCTGTAGCATTCTTAGTAAAGCTGCCTTTCTGGGGACGCACGGGTTGTGGACAATCGACCCAGGAGGAGACCCATATGGTACTTAAATATTTTATAGTATGAGAAACCTTCTTGGAGGATCTTCTTCTTCCTTTTATATGACTGTATTCACCTCAGCCTTGTCATAACGCAGCCATTCTTTCACCCAAGGACTGCGTTCAGGTCCTTCCAAAGCACAAATGAGCCAGATGAATCACTACAGACCAACAAATCCCGCTTAATGCTCTGGAACTATACAGGCCCTTGGGAGCAAGAGACAAGGTACCAGATATATGCCCCAAAGAACATAAAATGCAAAAACCTAAATCATGAAGACAATGCACAAGCGTTTCTACAGTTGGAATATTAATGTATCAGAGCCTTCACTTCGTAAGAGTATTCAGTGTCTGAAACCGGAAGGTTAAAATCCCCCAAGAACTAAGATTCAGAAAATATACATACTTATCCAAAGATGGTTCCTGAACAAATGGGTAGCATGTAGTTAAGTACCTAGGAAAGACACATGCTTCTGAGGGTTCTGACCATGGCACAGTTACCGCTGCATGTTTTGTAACAAATGGTTTGACCTCTGTTGACAACTTGATGCCCTGAGAAACAAAAGGTTTTCTGGCTACATGCATTTGGAGATTAATGTTGTAAGTGAAGAATACTCATCCTTGTGAGCTTAACTGTCATAGGAAAATGTTAGTTTGTTCTAACAAAACATGCAAACCAATAAAGCTCACCAAAAGGAAATGGAGGAAGAAGGAGAAACAAAACTGAGGAATTATAAGAGAAATGTGACTGCTCTGGAAAGTTATTTCCTTTAATACCCACATTTATAATTAAATACTTGCAAAGGTCAGTTACAGAAGGGACAGAGGCTTGCTTATCACAAGATGCAGTAAACGCTAGTATCCGAATTCTTACTTTAGATGTGAACAATACAAACTAAAACTCGTAACATACAGTAGCACTACTGCAAAATCAAACTCTGGAAGTATGGAACAATAATGCCTTTGCATACATCTGCATGTTAAGGTAACAGTCTGTCTGAAATCGATACTTAATTATGCAGCCTTCTTGTTTCTGGCACAACACAAATCTACTAAGACGAATTTTCCATTTATTCTGAATTACCATTGACATAAACTGGATATGTATCCATGGAAGGACATTGTAATGAGACTAAAAGTACTTATTGTCATTACAGTGTTACACTGCCTTTCTCTAATGCAGGCCACAAAGTCACTCCTACAGTTGATTGTGTATTTTGGGGTCAGCGACACACCACATGGAAACTGGGATTTTTTCACTTGTCAAAGCCAGTTTCAATGAATAAATAGCACACACAGGGCTTTTAAAAATGTTTGAAGGTCAATTTCAATGCTTGAGCGCATAAGCTTGGACTCCCTGCATCCTACAGTGGCTCAGCAGTCACTTGGTAACACAAACATTTAAAGAGCTCTGACAGCCTGAAGTAAATTTCAAATAAGTGCAAACTCTTCCGTTTCTGAATTTACCAGGCAGATCCAAACAGCAAACATCCACCGTAGCAGCGAGAAATAAAACGTCAGATTTGCACGGTGAAGCACGCTAAGGTACACGAGGAACGTAAGCTTGGGAGGTAGGTAAAGTAGAGCGCGACCGAACGGTGACTGAGAATACCTTAGCGCTACCCGCGCCGCCTATGACGGGAGGCAGCTGTGACGGCGAGCTCGCCGCCGGATTCGGAGACACCCCCGCAGCCTGACCGGGAAACGAGCCCGCGCGCAGTGCGAAGTCCGTTGTCACCGGTTGGAAGCTGCGCACCCACTTTTACCGCGCTTGGAACGCCTCCCTGTCCCTGCAGCCGCCCCCGCCCCCTGCCCGCGGTGGATGTTTCCATACCCGGGCTCGCCACACGGAATGCCTGGCGTTCCCCCTCCCAAGCGCCGGGAAGCGGCTCGCTGCGTGCCAACCCGCGCTCGCCCGCTGCCCCCCGGTGTCGCCCC